CCGCGTCTGCCGGGCAGGGAGCCCGGCTCAACGTGACACCTCCTAGGCCTGGCAGCAGCTCCCGGGCCGCAGCCAAGGCCGCCTCTCCTCCGGCACCTTTCCTTGCACATCTCTCCCTGCTGCACCGAAGCGGGGAAACCTCGCACCGCTCCCCGCAGGCGAACGGCAGCGCGGGGACCTGCCCGATGTCCTGCCGGCGGTCGGCGTACGTCACCTGACTGCAGCTCAGAGACAGCATCGAAGCTGCGGGAAACCGAGGGGGCCACAGCTCTGCCTGCACCTCCCTGCGCTATCCCAGCCTCATACTAGCACATCCCAGGCGGTTCCCACTGAAGCCCCTCAGTGTCACTGCGTCCACTGCACACGCACCGAGGGGCTGCCACGGGGCTGGCTAGAGCAAAACCTCCAAGAGCCACCACTGCTGTTATCACACACAGGGACAGACAGCCCCTGGCTCGCTTGGTCATGGTTAAACAAGACACAGTTAAATACGTGCACCCTCTGAGAACAAGGGGTGCAACTCAGAGAACAGACCGTACCTGAGGGGCTAGGACCAAAAAGCGTCACATAAGTACCTTCTCCAAGAGAAAATACTTGTCCAAAATTACCTGGGAAGAGCAAAGCCAGAGCTTATGATCAAGGGCCGAAGCCAGCTGCACTCCAAGGGGGGAATTAGGCCAATTTCTCATTGTCAGGACAGTGAACTGCAGGACAGGACATGAGGAGACAGTGCAGTGAGGCCGGTTGACTTCCTGGAAGATATATCTCGGCCAGAACGGTCCACACACCCACTCTGTGATCACAGCTGTCCTGGGACCCCAGGCCTGGCAGGAAGACAGCCCATGGTGCTTCCTACAGCCCCAAGAAACGGCATCCCCCTTCCTCAGCGCACACAGGCCTGGGGCAGGAGGTGGTGGGTTGGTTCAGTACATCACCAATGTGACTCCTGGGACAGCCTGAGGAAAGGCCCGGATCCTGGTCCAAACACATACTTGCCCCTCTGAAGGGGCTGGGGTCTCTCTCCCACGCAGAGTCCTCCAGTACCTCCGCCAAGGGACCCGATCCAACAGCTGCCTGCCAGCAGCGTCTGCCCAGAGAGCTGGGCTGGGGCTGTGGAGGCAGTAGCTCCACACACAGCACTGGCCTAGGATGCTGGGGCCAAGGAGCCTCCAAGCACTTGGGTGCCACAGAGCACTGCTAGTAGGAGTAGCGGTTTTTCCTCCTCCCTCAGGGCTTGATTGGGACCGCCAGTATCAGTCAGCACCCCAGGGTGCCCCACAGACAGCCTGTTTGCTTTGCTCATGCAGCAGTAAGCTGGCATAGCAACCTTGGCTAAAAGGATGCTCTGACCTAAGATGCAACATGGTCTTTCAACTCTCTTGCTGTTGAGACTACAGGTTCACAAGTGAAAAAGGGAAACAAGCAACCCTTTCCAAGCTCACAGCAATTAAAGGCAGAACAAATGTTGCAGGATCAAAACCTTGAGCAGGTGAACAGATGAGAAGTGTCACAGTCAAGAACAGAAGTTTTTTATTCATGGCCTGGAGGAAGGAGCAAAACTCGTCAAGTCTATAATCAAGCAGGAAACGCAGTTTTCTAAATCAGACTTCAGAGAATTCAAGTGAAGCTTAAAAACTGTCAGCAGCAGGGCACTGAACGCTGCAGAGCAGAGCCCACGAGCACACGATGGGTGTGTACCTCACGAGGCTCCAGCACAGGGGGCAGGTTTGCGTCCAGCAGCCCAATGCAGAACTGCTGCAGCTCCCTGCAGCTTGTCAGCTCAGTGGCCAGTTCAGAAAGATCTGAACTTCAGCTAGCCCTCAGCGTGCCCTTGATTTACCCTCATCTGTAGTGTAAGTATTAAGAAAGGAGACAGCATGAGATAGCGTGACAGACAGACAGGGCTGACAGCAAGCTGCACACCCAGTCTCTTGAGAGAGAGCTACAATGTGCACAGCAGTACAGAACCATCTGTGGTTGGCTTTGGCCTACACACACCATCTCTATTCCTGGGATAATGGCTATCCCAACTGCATCTGTGCCAGCCTCAAGAGACCGCTGCCTCATCGAGGAACCTGCTCTTGGCCTAGCATTACAGGAGGTAACAAAGCCATTTCTGCTCCCGCCGGGGGCCAGGAAGGGGCTTGGCCCCTGTCTGCCCTCAGAGAACTGCCAGCTCCTGTTACAAAGCAAGAGATGCTCTGAGCACTAAGGCTAGCCTCATCCCTGCAGAAGGATAAGGCACAGACATGGCAGCTAGCAGTGACAGTGGGAAATTACACGGCTTTGCTCAACCCAGAATGGCCTGAAGTACGCGCCTTCCCAAAAAGGGGATGCTGCTGGGTATCTCAGGCAGGTCTCTGACCCAGGGGAGAGCCTGGGAAGGGGATGGATAGCCTGGGGGAGCACTGCCTGAGACTCAGGAAAAGCCAGGAGAACAACATGAAGGGGGACACAAACTGGACAGGAAACATCACAGCCTGCCCACCCCTTGCTGTCCTCGCAGTCTCAGCCATGTGAGCTCGGAAGAAAACAATGGCACAGAATTGGCATAGGCTTGCTCCCCACCCAGCATCCTTGGTGCTCCCTCCACCCAGCAGAGGCAGGATCAGCAGCGTCACCATCAACAGTCGCTTGTCAGAGAGGTAGTAGCTATCAGCTCCGTCTCTAGGTGATGTGACCTCGAGATGTCCCAGAGCAGCAGCGTTCGGTTACGTTCCTGTCCATCAGTCATTCCCAGGCTGTCCATCATTGATTTGTGTTTGCTCCTGCAGCCCAGACATCTGCAAGACAGCAGGGAGGTCGGTATGCGCAGTCCTGGCCAAGCTCGCCCTGCCCCAAGGAGCCTGCCAAGCCAGAGAACTAGGCAGGAGAGAGGCGGAGAAAGGATCCCCCCTCTCCAGAAAAACACAAGGCCTAGTAACCAAGTGCCAGCTCCCTTCCCACCTCCGCAGGAGTATGCAGCCAAAACAAGTCCTGCAGGCAATTCGACTGCAACGCAATATATGCTGCAGCAATTCGAGCAAGGAGCAAAGGGGAGGCAGAAACTGTCAGATTTCCTGTACCCAGTCTTGCTGGTAAAGGGACAGAAGGGCACCACATCGCTTAAGGAGGTGCTCAGATGTGTCCGTACAAGTATCCTCCAGAAGAAATGGCAAGAGATACTATGCCAAGCACAGGCTTAGAGGCAAAATCCCAGCAAGTTCTCCTGCCCTTCCCAAGTTATCCCTAGGGACTGTCAACCCCCAGGCTTCCCATCTTGCCCACTGCTACAGCCAATACCACAAAACCATCCAGCCGTTGCTTGGACATGAAGGATCTGGCTCAGCCTTCATCGAGCAGGTGTCAGAGCAGCAGGTACCACCAGTCAGCAGGGCTGTGCACCAGCCCTCACTCTGCAGTGCATGCTAGAGAGGCATGAGCTGGCTCTAAGAGGGGGAACTACCTTGTAAGTACCACGAGGCAGGACCCTGCCCATGCCCCTGCTGGCATGTGTATCTCCACATGGGATAAGCTTTGCAGGCAAAGACAGCCTCCTGCTTGACAGCTGAAGCTGCTCAGACACAATACAGCAAGTCCACAAGAACTCAGAGACACTCCCTGTGTTGCTCAGTGCCTACTGTGGTGACAGGATGGTGGGTGACCCTGCTCCACCTTCCAAAAAGCAGAGGAAGGTTTGAGAACAAGCGCTACCAATTCAAGATCTGGACTGGCTGCCCTTGCCCAGAGATACTAACACCCAGCTCCTGGACCAACCCAGTCCCTTCTCCCCCAGAGCTGTATATGTGCCACGCCTCTGCCATGGGCAGACCTGCTTCTGCTGGCACACCAGGCAGCGCCTCCTGGAGCCCTGGTGCTGCTGCGGTTTCTCTCATCCGTCCAGGCAGCGGTACGGCCTTCACTAACCCTTGGATGTAGCTGCTTTGCCCACAACGGCACTGGGCAGGGGTCTCACTACCTCTCAAAGGGTTCCTAGGATACCTTTGCAGGGATCACAGCTGACCCCTGGGCTGCCCATGGGGCAGCTCAGCCCAGGCCCCATCCTGGACCTGGGCAAGATCCACTTGCTTACGCAGGGACCGGGCACAAGGAAGGGGTGTATTGTGGGTGTTCAGACGCAGTCCCAGTCCCCCCAGGGATCCCAAAAGTTTGCTGTGACAAACATGGCCTGCATAGCTGGCAGCTTGCAGGAGGGACAGAGCCTGGTACTGGTACAACGTGACCAGGCACTTGGGCAGGAAGGTAATGTGATACCCGTTGGTATGGCAGCCACGCCCTACGCTGTGTAGCAGTGGGCTTTCTGACATGAGCCCTGCTCTAATCCCACGGAGGGGGAAATGCACGTCACCTAGAGTTTAGCAGAGGATGAAGCAATACCCAGCAAGGCAGGGAAGTTGTTGGCAGAGGTCAGCCAGCTCCCACCATCCACAACCAGGGTGGTGCCTGTCACATAGGAGGAGAGGGGGCTCGCCAGGTACAGCACACTGTGGGCGATCTCCGTCTTGTTCCCTGCACGGTGGAGGGGGATCATCTCAGAGTAGCTTGCCTTCTCAGCAAATTTCCCACCTAAACAGTGGAAGAAAAAGAATTGGCTAGGGCCATGGGGCCATCTGCCCATCATCACAGCCTGCCAGACACTGCAACCTGTCAACAATGCCTGCATGGATAAGCTGCTGAAAGCTGCAGGGAACATAGATGAAATCCTGGCACAGCCCTGGGAACAATCCCGAGAAAGTCTTGAAAACAGGGATACAAAAAAAAAAAAAAAAAAAAAGGGGGATGTCAAGCCCAGCAGTGGGATACGTGCTGGATGCTGCAACAGTGAGTTCACAACATGATCTCACAGAGCTTTCCCAGCCTCTGTGACTGAACAGGTGCTCTGCTGATGGACATCCAAACCATCAGGCAGGGGAGCTGGTTACATCAGGGCATCGCAGAGAGCAGAAAGAGCTGCCACTCAACAGAAAAATCAGCGCCCTGTGAACTGAGGAGGTGACTGCTCCCTGCTCCCCCAGAAAGCCATGCCAGCTGAGACACACAACAACTGGGCCCAGTGGGAACGGCCCAGATTGCATCACATGCCCCATGAGCTGCCTGGCACTGGTGGTCCACTACGGGCCCCCATACAGAGGCCGGCAAGTCATTTCCAACGCAGAGCCAGAGGGAATCTCAGGTTGCCTTACCCAGCCGTCGGTAGCCCTCCGTGCCTGTGATAGGGCCTGGTGCCAGACTGTTCACTCGGATATTGTTGGGTCCCCACTCCACAGCAAGGTGACGGGTCATGGCATCTGGGAAGGGGAAGAGATTGCAACAGGAATGAGAAACAGAGATCAAGACTGTTTCATCAACTGTAGGGGAGCCCAAAAAGTAATGGGAGACCCCAGCCAAGAGCAAAGGACCCTGGAAAAAACAGCCTGAGGAAGAGAAGGGCCTCAACCAAATCCCAGGCTTACGTAGCACTGCACAGTAACCCATCTGATTCGTATATACTTCTACGGACCTGTTCCCATGGCAATACTCGGGAAGATCAAGCTCCCTTACCAGCCTTACATAGCTTGCAGAGCCCCAGCAAGGAGCATTTAGGTACCTATAGCGGCCTTAGCAGTACCAGCATGCACCTGAAGGGCTTGCCCTCGGTAGCTCAGAGTTGCTGTGATGTTAACAATGACCCCGCCACGGTCCTGAGGAAGGAAACAAGACACAGCGTTAGGCAGGGAACACCACAAAGGATCACACAGAAGAGTCTGGTGGGACACGGGAACTACGCTAGGAGAGAGAGTAACACATGGGCACAGCCACCTCCAAGTTGCTTGCTCGCTACCAGGGCAGCACTGCCCACCTGGCCTTGCTGAGCTGAGCCAGCCCACAGCCAGCTTCCAGAGAGGCAGAGGAAGCAGGGAATAAGCAAGGGCCAAGGGAAAGGAGGGGAGCTGGAAAAGCAGCAGGAGTTTACAGCTTCTTCCCCCATAGCATTCCCCTTCCAGGAGCTCTGCCCAACACAGGGCAGGGCATAGAAAGGTGCCACAAAAGTCAAAGCCTAGGGACACAGAAGATTCAGAATCCACAGCTCCCACTTGCTGTGCAAGGGCTACCATCCCAGAAAGGGAAGAGATTGGATCCAAGCAGGGTTGGCTCCCAGGAGGTGGCACAGAGCCTGACAACACGGCCCTGGGTAGCAGGGGTACTGTGCACCGTGCTCCCAGAAGAAGGAGCTCTTCTGCCCTCTACATTTCACCGAATTTCTCAGGAGTGAGGCGTAGTTTGTTTAAATTTAATTCCCCGCTTAGTGGAGAAGCTCCTCCACTGAGTCCTGTGGCTCAGGAGCCACTTACCCGGAAGCATTTCTCAAAGAGCACTTTGGAGGTGTTGAAGGTGCCAACAGTGTCAATATCCATCACTGTCTTGAAGGCATTGAAGGACAGGGCGCTGGCCGGGCACAGAAAGTTTCCTGCAGCACCTGAAGAACAAGCAGGGGTACAGTCAGCACAGGGCCGCAGAGGGATCAGGCAGGTTCAGGGCACTCTCCAAGAGGGACAGTGAGCAAGTATGAATGTGCACACATATCCTACTCCTGGAGGTTACTGAATAGAGAGGAGCTGCGGAGGTGCCACACGCTAGCAAAAGAGTGCTCTGCTCTCCGCAGCTCCTTCCAGAAGGCTGCTTTGCTACTTTACTCCCTTGCTTTGCAGTAAAGGTTTGAGCGAAGCATTGCAGCTTGCTAAAGCTGTAGCCATATGACTTGGCCATGGGCACTTTCGGGAGACCCTCCTGCAGCTTATGAGCTGCCCTCAGCTAGGGCAACAGCACAAGGAGTCAAGCATGTGGCAACAGTCCTCATAAAGGGGTAAATGGCTTGCGGCTCTGGGTGCCCAGCAGCACAGCCAGCGCAGGGGCAACAGGCTGCTGGTGCAGGGAGTGCAGGGATGATCCACACTGAGACAAGCAAGGACGGACAAGCATTTAGAGCAGGTCTTTGCTTTCTCCAAGACCATTCTCTCTGCAAATCTCAGGGGCTCACACTGTCAGCTGCAAGGATGCTCCCAGGCCAGAGGGGCGAAAGCCCGACACTAGCCAAATATAGCCCACATGCAGGGAAATGCCCTGCCCAGCAGTGAGTTTGTGGCAAATCTTCCCATCCCCACTCCAGCAACTCACCATTTACAAGGATGTCAATCCGCTCAAACTCTTTCATTGCCTCATCCACTGCTGCCACAATGGTTTGGGGCTGCCTGACATCTAGGGACAGAGGTAGGCATCGCTGGCCTGTGGCTGCCACCAGCTTTTTCGAGGCCTGGAAAAGAGAGGAGAGACTCTTTCTGGGACTCTCTCCTTCAGCAATGGAGAGACTTGGATCTCGTAACAGGTAAGCAACAAGTCAGGCAGGAGCTGCGTCTCTGTTAGCGCACAGCAGACGCTGGTGTCGCCTACACAAACACTTGTCACATCCCATCCTAGAAGCAGCTCCATTTTGTCAGCCAGCACAGCCACTCCCCCTCTCTCACCTCAGGTGACAGACCTGCCCAAGCACAGCCAACTTCATCCTGGTGGCACCATGGGAGCTAAAGCCCTGGGGTGCCCGAAGAAGCTCCTGCATGTTGCATCCCAAACAAGCATCAAGGCAACTGAGGCCACAACTCACTAAGCCCAGGTAACCCAAAGGCTTAGCATTGCAACAGCGCATCCTATGCAAGATTTTTGCAGGGCAAGTACAAAGGCTGAACCCCAACACGGTATTTTGGCAGGAGCCCAGACATAGTTAACCTTTAGATGCAAAGATGCGAGGCCTCTGTCTCTACGTGCACCTATTTCAATAGGCAAAAGGGCAAATGCAAACCAGCTGTTATTGTAGACTCTGCCTGCGAGACAAAAGCAAGGCAAGCTCTGTGGCTCAACATCTCTGCCAGAAACCACCTCCAAGGCGCTTGTTAAGAAACATGACTCTCCCAGGCAGCTTCAGGAAATTAAAGATAGGGGACACGCAAACCCAACAGCAACCCACGTAACTGCACAACGTCCTGCGCACGCTCACCTGGCCATTCTGTGAGACGTTTTGAGCCTCTGGTTACCACACAAATACACTCAGCACCAAGAGCCTAGGAAGCCAGTCCCTGCACTCAGGAGACCCCAGTATCCCTGAGGATTGGAAGGCTGCTTAGTTTTGCTGCTCACTTTCTGAGATATGCGCATGAGGGACTGCAAAATGATAGTACTAACCACCTCCAGGAGGCAGCTGGTCATACCAATGCACTCCCCAGCTCTGATTTCTATCTTTTATATATTTCAGTGAACTCTGTACACGCTACTGCAAAACTCTCTCGCTGCTGCTTTCAGCCTGAGACCAAAGTACAAGCCAGCGGTGAGGAACAGAAACCGATCAGCCAAACATCAGTCCAGGATCAGACACATAGCGGTGGGTGTTTGTTCCACCCAGCTGCACACAGGGCAGCTGCAGTCTAATACAGCTTTTTCAGTCTCTGCTTTCTAGGCCTGCATCTTCCACTCCTCAAAACACAAAAATAACAGGTTTTGAGGATCAAGATACTCCTCTTAACCCATGTAACCCTAGGCCCAGGAGGATTTGCCCCTAATCTAGGCTGAGAGTCAAGTTCAACCTGAGACTGCCATTTCCCTACTGACAAATCTTCAGAGTTGGCCTCTCAGTGTCATTTTCCTCATCAACCAAAAGGCAATGCAATACCAGGCTCAGGCTCCTCTGAATAACTACGGATAGAAATGTTCTGGCAGAGCAACAGACCTGATGAATGAGGCTTTCAGAGGCCTGTTCTGTTCTGGCAGGCCACAAGTAACGGAGATTCCCAAGGCTGGCGGTAGAGGGGTAGGCAGGGGTAGCAATTCAGTGCTTAACTGAGCTCTGCAGTGAGGTGTCCTAGGTGAAATCCTGCATTAACTCCACTCCCATCCCTGCCACCTCATGCACTTCCCTACCGGTGCTGAGCTGTTCAGAGCTAGGGAGAAGACAGGACAGTCCCAGGAAACCATTTCACATGACATGACTCCCAAGGCTCTCATCTCCATCCCTAGCAGGGAGCAGGAAGATTTCCAGCAGTTCACAGATCTCCATACTGCCTGCTGGTCCCACTGGAGCCCATGGGCTTACCTCCAACACTCGCTGCAGACTTCGGCTTGCAATGACGGTCTGACAGCCGTGTCTACAAAGAAGGGCCAAGTGAGAGTGACTACGTATGGCCGGCTCCTTATAGTCACTTCAGACCCCTAAAGATCACCAAAAAGTCAGTCTACAAGTCATGGGAACTGCAGCAATGCCACTGGAATGAACATCACTCCTCCAGGCCAGATATGACTGTGCAAAGCCCAGGACTCAAAAAGAGGGAGATTAACAAGGCACCGGAGCCCTCCCCCAGCCCTGAGACAGAGGAGGAATGCCTGAGGCCTGTCCCCACCGCCCATCCCACCTCCATCTACATGAGCCTGGGGCAGACTAGGCTGCCAATGTCTCCTGCTCATACCCCTCAAAACGATCCTGTTGCCTCCAGTTTTCCACCCCACTGCAGGTCCCCCTTGTCACCACCTACTCTGGAAGGGAGGAGACCTTGCTACCAACAGCCTTTCCAAGGGCAGGGAGGCCTTTATTGCCTTCATCATCCTGCACTTAGGCCAGTTATGCTGCAGGCAGCTGAAGAGGCAGAGCAGGACATCTCCCCGTGCATCGCCACCACGCACGGCGCACAGAGCAGGGTTTCCCTGTGGGGCTCTCCGGCGCCGGGCCCATCCGTACCTCATGAAAATCT